GAACTTTTACTAGTGACGTATTTTAATTTATGCATAAAATCCCGTTGTACCACTGAGATCATATGATAAATGATCGATATACACTCTATCCTTAAAGATCTGTACTACCTTTCTACTTGGAACTTGCTAAGCAGAATTCTGTATACCCTAGCCTTTAGATTTACACAAATGCTTTACTCGAGTTTTGTATAACTTTTGCATCACACTATAGTTTCACATTCTTTTAGTACAAGCTGATACAACCAAAGATACAGATTTGATGATCTATTAGATTACATACAGTCTGCTATAACACATTCTGTAAAATTCGAATTTCGTTGCTAGTGGGATTCGAACTTTTGTCTTGCCGCTTGGGAGTGCGACAACTTACCAACTTCACTAAGTCACCACACTCTATTATATAAGAATTTATCTTTACAATACTATTACAAACAAATAGAAAATATACAGATTCTACTTAAATAGCTACTAATATTTCTATTCAACTTCTTTTTCAATTATCATAAAATATTTATAATCAAATTTAAAAATCTTATTGCATAAAATTATTAGAATAAAAACAACAAAACAATATCATTAGGAAATTTTTTAAGGTGATATATTACGATTACTAACAATTAATCAATTATTATCAATTAAATTTAATCGATAAAAACTGACAGTAGTGATTGTAATTGTTAATATTTTTATTAATTTTAATCGATAATGTTACTAATCATTAATTTACTATAAATGATTATTATCGATAAATTTTTTATCGATAATTATCAATAAAAAATTAATTGATAACAATCGTTTATAGTAAGTTAACGATTAGTAATATTATTGATTAAAATCGATAAGGATATTTGACGATTATAATCACTACCATCAGTTTTTATTGATTAAATTTAATTGATAATAATCGATTAATTGTTAGTAATTGTAACCTATTGCTTTAAAAAATTTTCTGATAATGATAGCTATTGATTTTTATCTAAATCGATTCTTATTATAAATAATAATTATTGATTTTTATCTGATCAATTTTTATCGCAAATAATAACTATCGATTTCTATCTATATTAATTTTTATCAATATTTATCATATAAACAATAACTATTGATTTTTATCTATATTGATTTTTATCATATATATGATTATTATTGATTTCTAATCGATATCAATTACTTACAATGGTAGTATTACTAATCGATTAATATTTTTAGATTATAATCGATACTTATCACCTTAAAAAATTTACTGATGATTCCTATTTAATCTAATCAAGAGCAAAACTAAAATCAACAAATTACCAATACTGATAAAACACACAATTGCTACAGAATAACTAATACTTATAGTTGTCTTTGTAGTTTATTAGATCAACAACATACTGATAACATATGTTTATCTTTTGAAAAAGCTATCTGAAAAAGATTTCTATAAACAATCCAATGGATTAATATAATATACCAACTAATGATGCAGACATTTAAAATCTTGGGGGTAACTACTCCGGCAAAAATATTACAGCAATATGGCACATTTGCCGTATAAGTAGAAGTAGTATAAATGCCATATGTTGTATAAATTCTGTATAATTGCCATATCATATACTGACCAGAAACCTGCCTGATAATGTAGAATCCCATTAAGCTAAACCTGATAACAAATTCATTACACTATAAATCGTTGAATAAAATGATCTGAGAAAGCTAATGAAATAAAAATAATTATATTTGTAGCAAATCTGATATTAGCAAAGCCTTTATCATGAAATATCGATAACTTTCGATCTAAACTATATATTCTACAGATGAAATTTCAACAACTCAAATTTTATTAATGAATTTCAATGTAAATATAGTGACACACTATAAATCAAAATAAATAAAAATAAAAAATAAAATAAAAAATAAAATAAAAAAAATAAAATAAAATAAAACAAGAAATGAAATTTAAACTATTTCTAGAATACTATATAATAAAAATAAACAGAAGCAATCTTAAATATCGTTTCTGCTCTAGCATCAAACTGATTTTATAATTAAAAGGTGCCACTACTTTGTATTAACTCTTCTCATAGTCCTATAAGTCGTAATTTCATATTACTATCCTATGTTATGATCAAGTTGTTTTATTAGTTGTAATCACGAAGAATATGATTTCACAAATAAAAGCTAGCTTAAATTGCTGAGTTTATTAACCTATTGTACATGTAGGCTAAGCTTGAATGTTTAAACATAACTTCCGAATTACTTTAATAATATATATTAAAACGAAGCCTCTACTTTTTACTGTAAATTTTTTTTGTCTTAACCTTCTACAATTCGTACTCGTGGATAATACACTTTTGTGCCTGTAACATTTTGACGTTAAATTGATTTCGCATCTATGTTGATCTCAAAAGTTGATTGGTTAGATTGGTTAGAGAAATTTTTTGGCATACGACATACTACATCACTTAGAGACCGTGAACTAGTTCACGATCGACTATGAGAACTGTGAACTACGGCACCTACCTCATGGCAATATAACCTCGGGGTAGTATGACCTCTACGTCATAGCCGTAATGCCATATGTAGTTACTACCCTAAGAAATGTCTGCATCATTAATACCAACTAATAATATTATATATTATCAAATCTAAATGAGTTTTAACTACTCTAGTAGGTTTAGGTTGCAAATAAAATAGTCTAAATCTCATTTTTGTAAAAAATTTGTAAAAATTAGCTTTGGTTAAAGAAACTTCTTGTGGATTCTCAATACAAATTATTAATAAAGATAAAGGCAAAACCTCACCTTATAAAAAAAAAAATATTTGTTACACAATTTTAAGCCTAACCCAACCAAAACTCTAACCCTAAGCCTAACCCTAACATAAATAATAGTATATTTAAATTATTTGCTTATAATGCAAAATTTTACTAAGGTAGCCCCTGTTGTATAACTAATAAAAAATATTTTTTATACTAGAACAACTTTATTTTTAGCTTTAATTCTAACCTTAATGTTAATATTACATTTATATATTTATACAATAGAGGATGCACTGTATAAATTTTTTCTTTACGAAAAATCATAATACAATCTAAAAAAAAAACGACAAAAAGAAAGTTCGCTGTGAAAATATCAGCCGTGAAAATATCAGTAAAAAAAGTCATGGGTGAACAATTAGAAGCCGTGTAATAAATAATATGATGCTATAATATTCAAATATTCGAATATTTGTTTGACCGGATCAGAACTCTTTTTTGGCCGGAATTAACTTTTAACTTTTTATTCCGAAAATGGAGATTTTTAGAGAAATAGGCCCGCACAATGGTAAAATTCAGGAACGCTGTGGTTTTCATTAGTAAAACTTCTCTTAGCCAACCAAAATCAAGGATCTACCGATTTCAAATCATTGTGAAGTTGACATTGTTTATAATTGGCCAATCAAATTGTGGGTATAAAAAGAAAAAATTCACGACTTAATGAATTCTTCAAACTTTAAACGCGACTTTGTTATTTATACGAAATGGTATATATGGATTTTTAGTATCCTACGAAATACTAAATAACGCCTTTAGAATTTCCTAATACTGATATGTATGTTATATATTTTTTTTTATAGCTACCGCTTTCCCTGCTGAACATTGCTCAAGGGCATCCAATGGCTTGTAATCTTTTCATCAATAATGAATTCATTTTTTAAACTTTAAAGTGTTTTAGAAACAAAATTTCACACAAATTTTCTTTAAATTATTGTTGCACAGCTAGTTGAATTGAAAAATGGAGAAACTTTCAATGGACATTTAGTAAATTGCGATAATTGGATGAATCTGACTTTACGAGAGGTTATACAAACGTCACCGGTAACGTTCAGTTTAGTTTATTCTATTGACCAAACTTAAGATAATGATAAATATTCAAAATATTATGGTTCATTTAGGAAGGTGATAGATTTTGGCGATTACCTGAATGTTATATTAGAGGAAATACGGTAAATTTTCAACATTGTTTTATTATTCTTATTATACACATGATTTGTTGGGCATCCTTAATGATAATATAATATTATTTTGTTAAAGATTAAATATCTTCGTGTACCGGATGAAGTGAGTACATTTCTATGATATTGAAATTGTCATTTATTTAAAATGGAGTTACTTAAATTTGATTACAAATTTGATTACATAGATCATAGAGATGGTAAAAGACGACGCCGTACGACAACGTCAAGCACCTGTTGGAAGTGGTCGTGGACGTAAGTATTTTTCAGTGATAATTAATTCATGCTCTTATTTTCCAATTTCTATTTGTAAATTATTTACCTTTTTTTTTTTAATTTTGACAGGTGGAGCTCGTAGTGGTAATCTAAAAAGTTTTGTGCATCTAAAATTATATAACCATACTTCATTACTTTTCTAACATATCTACTTCTTATAAACAGGTGGAAGAGAAGGTAGTTCTAGAGGTCGTGGTGGCGGTGGTGGAAGTGGGCGAGGCAAGTCTACCAAAAAACGTCAATGATTACAGTTAGTACTGGTGTCCTGGATATTTAAGTGGACATCCTATACTATGTTTCTTTAATCGGATTTACAAGTAAATGTTCACCCAGTTATATGTTTAAATTAAATGTTTTATTGTGATATTTGATTTAATAAATGAACGTACGTAATTGAACAGATAGTAATCAATACAGTACCTTTTTATTGTTACTGGAGTTTTGAACCGGTTTTATTTTTCATGTGTTGAAACCTATTAAAACTGGTTTTAGTACATGAAGAATATGTCTGATTCCAAACTCTGAAATTTGATACAAGATTCGTGTTGGTTTTTTTTTTCATGTTATGAAGCTAGAAAGAACCAAAAGCCACATCTTAACAACTAAAATTATTCACGTATCGTTTAGAAGTTTCGATGCTTCGGTGCTATGGTGTTTATATGAATTTTATCATACAAATATTTTTTAAGTTGCTTATTCAAGAAACTTGACATTTTAATATTTTTGGCAGAATATTGTACTAAGAAAACACTAAGAAAACAATAGAAATTCATATTAATTGAGACCATTTTAGCTATCGTTACTGCTCAAGCGCATGTATCTAAGGTTTCTGGCATAAAAGTTTGCATAACTGATTGTAATTGAATTTGTTTTAGTGATTAGGCCGATTTTTTAAAAAATTGATTTAGTTGAATATACGTACATGAAAATTCAGAATATATATGGGATTTTTGCCTTAAAAATGACCTCATGGAACATAGCAATAGTAATTACTGTGTTCCATAAGGTCCATTTTCATGGCAAAGGCCCAAAATATTTTACATACTACACGTGGTAGGTCTCAATTATTTCGATAATTTATCTAATTTCGTGCAATTCTGCATTCAGGTTGGTCAATTTAGAATGCTAAAATCACATGAATTTTTTGGCGTTGTTTTTGTATTCTGATTGATCAATTTAGAACGTTAAATTAAATTTTGCATAGTTCTTTTTATAAGTGTAAATGTTGGCTGAAAAATACGTAAAAAGGTTTTTTATTTTCGTTTTAACTCATTACTCCGTTATCTATAGTTGGTAGTAGAAAAATATTACTAACCGTCTAACTCTAGGTCGGATTGAGAGTGTTTGTTTTAAACCTAGTCATGGGATACACCTCTACGTGGTGACTGGGACAAGTAAGCTATTTTTTTTTTAGCTGAAACTAAGTATCCTTGTGTGAAAAACAATCATTACTGAGTGACTTATATAACCTTCGTGGCGGCCATGTTTTTCCAGACCAATAATGTACAAAAGATTAAATAGATATATAGAGAAATAATAGGATCGGATATATTAATAAATAGAGTTTGTATGATGGACTATACATAGCGAAAGAAATTATTTTCAATAAATATTTGAGAAATGGGATCCAATTATCTTACATAATTGTTTCAAATTATTTTTTTAACAAATTTGATAATTTATTCGAAGGCGATGTATCATGCTTAGGTCGTTTAAATCTTATGAACAAGAGAAAAGAATTTATGCATTAGCATCCGAAGTCGTAAAGTTTCATGAAAAAATTGCAATCAAAAAACCAAGATTGTTTCATTTATTTTTATTCACTGATGCAATTGTATTTATGTGTAGGCACTTGGTCTTGAAAGGTTCCCCGCCATAAATTTCGGTACTAAGTAAGCTCAGCGAAATATTTTAACAAGTTTCATAACACCTACCTAGAAAGCTCGTGACGTAATATAGAGTTCTAAGTCGAAGGCATTCTCGATACTTGATAACGATAAATGAACTTTGTTGATAAAGGTTTAGATTTGTGCGTATTTGAAGATGGCAATTTCGTCAAAAGCAATTGATTTATGAAAATCACCCCCTTAGAATATTGTCATTTTCGTCCTAATAAAATGAATTCCTTGTAAATTTTTTTGGCTAGAAGATATTTGATTATTACTGCTACCTGAACCTAATTCACATAATCAACAGTCGTTCATTTCCGACATTATACAGGGCGACATTTTAGAATTTTATTAGTTGCTTGTTAGTAAATTGTCACTTAGTGTGACGTCGGGTAAATGGAATGACCGTCAAGGGAAATGCATTTGAATGGATAATTCCATAAAGCAGATGATCTGTCGTCATTGACACAAAGGCGCAGATTTAAACTAAAATTAGCCAATCACACATAGCACTTAGATTCTATAAGATGCAAAGCTTATCGTTATTCCAGTGGAATTTAAGCGATTTGAATTTCAAAATTCGTGGACATACGTGCCAGAATATTTTTAACAAAATTTAAACCAATTTTAGTATATAACAACAGCATGAATCAAAGTCCAACGATATACGTGCCGACAAAAAGGACTGACGAGGTCGACTGGGCAAATCCTTTGAAACGTTATATTCAGACAATGTATCAAGAGGATCCAGAAAAATATGCTGAGGAAGCTAACACTATCCATCGCCTTAGACAAGACATGAGAGGTGCTGGGAAAGACTTAACTGGCAGGGATTTAATGTATCGTTATTATGGACAATTAGAACTACTTGAATTGAGATTTCCTGTCGACGAAAACCACATTAGAGTCTCTTTCACATGGTATTTTTATTTCCATGAATTTTATATCAATTTAACTGTATACTTGTATTCCTTAAACCATTGATAACTTGTTTATTGAATCTACGCCGCATTAGGTACGATGCTTTCACTCATAAAGCAACTTCTCAATTTTCACTTGCGTATGAAAAAGCATGTACAATATTCAACATAGCTTCCACCCTATCTGCTATCGCTGCCTATCAAAACCGGTCTGAGACTGATGGCGTTAAACGTGCATTCAATTTCTTTCAAGCTGCTGCCGGAATGTATAATTATATCAATGACAATTTTTTACATGCTCCTTCAACTGACTTAAGTAGAGAAGCTGTAAAGTTACTCTCTCAATTAATGTTAACGCAAGCTCAAGAGACTTTTCTTGAACAAAGTATAAGTGGAAAAAAGAAGCCTGCTCTTATTGCTAAATTGGCTTCTCAAACTGGATGGTCTTATGGCAATATTGTAGAAAATATGAACGATCTGGTTACAAAAAGCGTATTTGATCGAAGTTGGTTAACCGTTTGTCAAATTAAACATAAATATCACATGTCAATCGCACAATATCAAAAAGCTCTGGCTTGTGAAGAGGAAGGCAAATATGGTGAATCTGTTGGTCGTCTTAATATGGCTGAAACTTTTGCTAAAGATGCCAACAAATCATCCAATAGTTTTGTTTCTTCCTTTTCTCCAACAAATTCACCAACTCTACCTCCTGACGCTGCTACCTCCTTACAAGAACTCACAAAATCAAATCTAGCTCTTATTACCGAGAAAAAAAATTCTGCAACAAAAGACAATGATATTGTTTATCATGATAATGTTCCACAAGAAAGTGTCATTCCACCTATTGAAAAGTTAATCGCTGTAAAATCTATACCAATACAGGAGCTTTATAATAATCCAAACGATATTCAAAAAATTATTGGTGCTGATATTTTTCAACGCCTTATTCCTCTATCAGTTCACGAATCTGCTTCTTTATATTCTGAAGAAAAAGCTAAAATAGTGCGCAGTGAAACTGAAAGATGTGATTTAGCGAACGGAGAATTGGAAGCCGTCTTAGACTATATGAAATTACCAGGTTTATTAACAAAATTTAAAAATAATAATGATGATAGATCATTTAATGAGTTTATAACACCGACACCTGAAGTAAAACAATGGGCAAATTTAATTAAAGAGGAAGAAGAACGAAAAGGTGCCTTTAAAGATATATTGATGACTTTACAGGGACTGAGAGGACAATCAAAAGAGCTAATGGATGACATTGCGCTAGTTTTAGAGAATGAACAACGAGAGTTTGATGCAATGCGGGTAAGAAATATATATATATACATCGCATATTTTGATTTATGTAAACATTAATTTAGATGAAATCGTTACTTAACTCGGTTAATAGTTAAAGTATGGCGATTCATGGACTCTGCCACCATCTGCATCACTTACTGCTGTTTTTCGTCAAGACTTACTTAGTCACCGTGATAGATTTGAGCAAGCTGGAAATTCAGATAGACACTTGTTTCAAAGATATGATCAGTCAATGTCTGATATAACAATTTTGAGTAATGGAGAAAATAGTGATGAATTAGAAAGAATGTTTGTCGAGGCATTGGCCTCTTTTGGTACCAAAACATCAAGTAATGGCGAAAATTTATTGGACGTGGACGTTTCACGACCATTAGAAGATATTCCAACCAAGGTTAATCAAGTTGAAGAATGTTTAAGTAATTTATATAAAGTTAAAAAGGAAAGAATGGATACATTAAATGATTTGAAAGAAAAGGTATCATTTTTTATAGTGTTAATTTCTTAACTTATTTCCGTGGTTGAACTAATATATATATATTTTTTTTTAACAGACACACCAGGATGATATATCACACCTTCTAATTTTAAATAAAAAGACGCAAAACATTGAACCACAGTTGTTTGCGACAGAGCTTGAAAAGTTTTCACCATATCGAAATCGAATAACATCTAGCATTCATCATCAACAAGCATTGTTAGAGGAATTAACAGTCTTTTACAAAAACTTAGTGGGAGGGGAAGAAGCGCGATCATTGCAGGATCGATGGGATCAAGCGGAACGAAAGAAAAGAGAGGTATGCGAACGGTTGAAAAAAGCAAAGGACAGTTATTTGGAAGTCAAAGATGGATTGAGGTATCATAAAACAGCACTATTTATTTTATCATTTTTTACGAAATTACAAATATTTTTTAATACAATATCCTTTAACACTATAGGAAAGGGATCCAATTTTATGTTGATCTTAATGACTTGATTGAGAATCTTTCAAAAACTGTGCATCAATTCGCAAAAACTCGCCAGCTAGAACGAGAAGACTTGATACGATCGATTCAAAGTCAAGAAGAACAACGAATAAAAAACCAAATGAACAAATTTAATGTGACCAATGTAACGATACCTACTACAGGAAGTACACCTTATGATACTGCGGTGCATTTATCCGAAGAATTAAACAAATTATCACTCAATCCTGGAGTTCCTAGTACAAATATTTATACAGCTAATCATATCAGTCAAGAAGTGAGCACCACAAATGTTCCAACCAACGATTCAACGTTCTATGACAATATTACATCCCCCACCGTCCAGTCATTTGCGTTACCACCAATTCATCAAGATTCATACCCTACACCTTCAGCACCATCACATACTGGTCCTTCAGCACCACCACACGTCAGTCCTTCAGTACCACCACACGTCAGTCCTTCAGCACCACCACACATCAGTCCTTCAGCACCACCACACTTTAGTCCTTCAGCACCACCACACGTTAGCCCTTCAGCACCACCACACGTTAGCCCTTCAGCACCACCACACGTTAGCCCTTCAGCACCACCACACGTTAGCACTTCAGCACCACCACACGTTAGCCCTTCAGCACCATCGTATGTTAGCACTTCAGCACCACCTCCAATGGCTGTACCAAATTCACCAACATCTCATAATCCATATTATTCACAAGCTCCTCAAAGAGTTGTTACACAATCATCTATCGGATATTCAATGCAAGCAGCGTCACCAAAGGCACAAGGCCCTCCCGTTCCTCCTTTACCTTCAGAATATCAACAAAATATTGTTCATATTCCTTTTCATTCGGATATTCAACGTTCATATCAACCGATTATTCATTCTATAAACGCACAACCTCAACAACAACCTCAACAACCACCTGCACCACAACCTTTGTCTCGGCCATATAATGTTCAATATCAATATTCCCAACAGACAAATCTACAGCAGCAACAGCAACATCCACAAACTTCACAGATGAATAGCCAGTCAGTGACATCACAACAACCGCCTATTTCAGGGCCATCTAGTATATATGGAGCTTCATTACCATCTCAGCCTAATTACTCACCAACAAATTATCGTTTTTCTCAACAACAGCCACCTCAACAATTACCCCAATCGCCAACACAACACCGTCAATCGACCTATGATGGTTTTGCATCACCTTTACAGAGTGGTTACGTTCAACCACCTTCTGGGTTGCATCAATCTCAAATTCCTCCCGCACAACAGCAATATTCTTCATCTGTTCCTGCGGTTCAACAACAACAATATACTATGCAGACTATGCAGAGACCACAATTTAGTCAGCCCTCTCAAATGTTGCCAACGCAACAGCCACAAAATCTTTATCAGACAAATCCAATCCCATCACAAGTTCAGCAACCTGTAGTAGGATATTATCAAAATTCTTCACCACAAGTCCCTATCCAACAGGGAAATTATCCTCCAACAGCTGGTCTTCAGCAGTCTAATCATAGTTACCAACAAGCACCTTATCATGCCCAATATCGGCCTCCAACAGCGCCACCACCTCCAAGAAATGATGGCCCTTCATTATTAGATTAGTTGGCCTTTTTTCTCTGTTTTTATTTATGAGTAATTCTAATGATTATCCCGAATTACTTTATCAACATCACCCTTAAAATCAATTATTTATTATAACGATTTGATATTCTTATTAGTGTAGTGCTGTAGCGCCACGCAGGGATTTTAAATACAATATGTAAATCAAATTTACTTTAGTCTTATATGAAAATTCGGTAGAAAAGATTTGTGTATCATATATTGTATGTAAATCACAATAAAATATTAACGTTAATAAAAATACGATACAATCGAAAGAATATGTAACTAATTTTTACCCGTTATGATATCACCCGGTATTATAAATTTTTATTAATACCATTAACTGCATGATTTCTTTTATTTCAAAATCATGAAGCTATCTTTTTTTGAATTTTTTTTATTATTGTTACTAACTAGAATTTTTATTTTTTTTATTTATTTTTTTTTTCTAGCCTCTTTGGGCAAGATTTTTATTCAAATATACTGGGTAGGAAGACTCACAATGAAACCCCTATTACATTAGAGTGTACAACTAGCCATACATGCAACTTTTGATTGCCTATTTAAGTATTCTGCATATCAGTATTACACCATAGAGACTACACTATTTGCCATACTTATAACCCGACTAGGGGTTATCTATTTAAATCCTCTATAATGCAACCCTCTTATATTACCAAAACATCATTACATTTGTTAGTTGAGAAGTTTTGGATGCTTTCTCTATTTTTTTAGGACTAATTTATTTTCAAGGCATCATTGCTAAAGCTTTTCATATCTACAATCTGGTTAATCTAGACTTTGATAAGAATAATATCATTTATTACTTGATTTTTTTTTATCAGAAGCTTACTTTTCTTCTCCCCCTCTTAATATATATTTTGATTAGGTCTTTATATATAATTTTAAAATTTTTATTCCCTTAAGAAATCATCTGATTTTTGTTACATTTCTAACTTATGTTAAGTTTGAAGATAAGTATTTGCGAACTGAAGTCGCTACTATTATCTACTTATGTCTTTGTAGAGTTTATCCAAATTCTAGTATCCATTATATAAATTATTAACTGTTTCTTTGATATTTTCAAACTTCCAATCTAGATAACTCAGAAGAGTGAATCCTTTTTTCTGGTATACACTGGTGGCCTGATTGATATAGTATCTTGTCAAACTTCTTGGTCTTGTTTGGTTTTCAAGTTTCTCAATTAATAATCTTTTACATAGCACTGTTGAAAGTTTGCACTATTTCTTTATTTAGAGCTTGTCAAGTAGGCTTTTATATATCTTAGATCTTGGATTTATCTGGTTGTTTTACTCACATTTTGTATAATTTATACATCATACTAAATATTTTATAGTCTCATAATACAAGCTGATATGATCAAAGTTACAGATCTGATGATCTATTAGATTATATACAGTTTGCTATAACACATTTTGTAAAATTTGAATTTCATTGTCAATAGAATTTAAACTCTTGTTTTGCCATTTAGAGATGTAATAATTTACCAATTTTACTAAGTCGCCATACCTTACTAGAAGTTTGATTTAAAATTAACTAAATAATATTGTTATCTTTATTTGATTTTATTTTTGGTAAATATTAGTTTTTTTAATTAAGTTCTGGTTGGTCTAACTAGATTGTTAAAATTTTTAGCTTTATTTTTATTTGGCAGTTCTGCTACTTTTTATTGCAGATTAAACTATACTAAGAAATTTACATTTCCTAATTATAGTTATACCAATCCATCTAAAAGTAACTTATCTATATTTTCGCTATATATGACTTGCCTTAGTGAACTTCAAGCTTCTCTTTGGATCTCTAATTTATTAAAAATTAGGGACATAACAAAAATCAGGTGATTTTTTAGAGAAAGAGGAGGTAAAAATTTTAAAATTATATATAAAGATCTAATCAAAATATATATTAAAAGGGAGAGGAGGTAAGCTTCTAATAAAAAAAAATTAGATACTGCTCTTATTCTTTGATCATAGGCTGGTGCTATATATTGTATCAATATTAGTTTTCCTTTTTAAAAAATGAAATACAAACATAAATGCAAAGAGCATAACAAAAATAAAAGAATATTATGTTATTGAGTTCTGATCCACCTAAACCAATAAAATCAAATAAAACAAATAATGAAAAAAAAAAATAAATAAAAATAAAGATAGCATTATTAAACCTATGCAGAATTCTAAAAATTATATAGTACTACAAATAAACTAGACTAAGCTCTATGTTAGTTATTTATATCTATATCCAGGATGTAAAAATATCAAAAATCATCTAATTTTAAAGTAGAGTTTCAAGAGCTGAAACTTCTAAATGCTATCTCAAACCCATTACAAGTCTTCTGCAATGTTTAACTTGTAACTTTCTGGACAAAGTTAATGAACTGTTGTTCATTGACTCATACCAACGAATCAGGCGCTCTTGGTATAATTATTACAACCTTTTAAAGAAAAGTATCTCACACTATAACCTAAAGCATATATGTATATGTATACATATATTTTCTTTTTTAGTAGCAATTATTGTTGTTGATCTTTTGATGAGAATATGTTGTTTTTACTACTTTTTAGAGAAATTTTACAAAGGCAAGAGAGTAGAGTATAGAAGAGAATTCTGGTTTGTAGGTAGCCTTAAACTTCAATAAAAAATGTATTAAAAATTCGCTTATTATTCTCTTTAGACCAACTATTTTTAATTTTGTTAGCAGAAGCAAAGCTTTTATTAAAATTTTCTATACAAGAACACTATCTTCTTGCCAGTTATCTTGTATAAAAATGCTTTTAACTTCCATACTGAATATACAGAAAAGTCTAAGAGAATAAAGAAAGTCTTAATCTCTATAAAAACTGATATTTGTAGTTGTCTCTTTTATTTTCCTTTAACAAGTTTCTGTTTTCATTAGCTATAGGTTTAGTACAAATGATTGTTAGTAAGAGTTGTATTTATTTTTAGCTTTATTTTTGTAAACTAGTATTTTAATAAATAAATATTTTTTTATTATTGATTATTTTGTTAGTTTTTATTTTTAATTGATTTTTTAAAAAAATTTCTGTTAAATATTTTTGTACTTATTGAATATTGTATAATATACAGTATTTAGTATAATAAAATTTTATCTCAAGTTTTTTAAGCATATAAATTTGTAAAACTAAATGCTAAGATAAAATTAAAATAAAAGCCTATTTGGTAAAATTCAAATAGAAAGTAGTATAAATTTTTGATAAACTATTATCTAAAAAAATAAAAATAAAATAGCCAAATTTTACAGTTTATATTTTAAATATAATTCTTGTTAAATTTGTATTGTATTAAAATTTATAATACAGCTACCTACCATATTATTGTAGACACTTTTTCGCGCTCAATAACTCAGAATCGAGTAAGTAAATGCAGTACAAATTTTTTTTTATATAATAAGCAAATCTGCAAGTACAATATATTAAAATTTTGCGCATTTCGGTTTAGTTACACAGAAGTTATGCAGTGAAGACTCAGAGTTTCCTTTTTTGTATAGAACCGAAAATCAATTTTGAAT